ACACAGAAACAGCACAATATAATTCATCTCACAGTACTGTAGAGTTATTATTATTATTATTATTATTATTATTATTATTATTATTATTATTTTTACTTGCACACTATATAAATAGACAGGCCCCAAGCGATCCACCACCCTGCAGCACCCCAACCCAACACACCCCACTCAGCTTTAGGATCTTAGTGAAACATTCGTTATTGGTTTCAAGTGTGTTAGGCCAAAGGCCAGAGTGACAACCCAAAGCTAAATAGGGATCTCCCCTGACGTGGGCGTGTTTTCAATACAGACTCCGTTAGTCGTACTGTATTCCACATACGGCATCCAGACCTTATGAAAGTTGCCCAGTAGACCCTTAATCTTCTAATAAATCAAATCTAGTGATACGTAACTTGACATTTCTTCCATTCATTTCTGCCATTCATTATAAATGCTAGGTTACACATTTTCTTCTGATAACAGTCTCCAGTATAAACATTTCCAAGCAAACAAAAGCAGGGAGAAGGGAGAATCTGTAGACATGCTAAGATAAAAGTACATACTCTTTGCCAGAATTCAGCCAGCCTTCACGAGACCACAACATATGCAAATATGTCCCCCTTTTGTGTTTACACCTCCAGCAGAGGAATTACATTTCTGAGTGTTATTTAGTTTCACTGGCATTTAGAACGTTCTATGGATTGTCTTAAACTGCATTAATTTATGCCTGATATTATATGTACATGACTGTGCATTCAAACATATCTGTATCCGTTCATTATCATCGATAGCGTCTCCCAGGTCTTCCTCACATTTTTATTTGACATGTTTAGTGTCATCAGGAAAAGCCTCTATCAACCCTTGACACAGTTTAGAAATCAACTTTGGAGGTTTGTCAGACTGCCTTAAAATAGTTTCAATCTTTGAAGCTTCTGGCAGAGAAAACTAAGTCTTGTATCAGCAAACATTTACCTCCGCTCCGTCACAGGCTGGTCTTCCGTGGCTGCCTGACCCTGCTGAGACCCCCGTCACCATCTGATCCTCCTAAGATGAGGCATGACAAAGAATTACCTTGGTGTACATATCTACATTATATTATCCAAGAAGAGAATCAATGGTTCAATAATTGAAATGACCATTATTCCCAGATCCCAGACTGTAGCTTTACGCTGCTGTCCTGTGGCTACTGTAGGTCTACCCATCAATTCAAGATGAAACTTTGTATCATTCACTGATATTGTTAATATACTGAAAAATGTACCTAAACTCCGTAGACTGGTCTTCCCTGGCTGTCTGACCCTGCTGGGACACCTGTCACCATCTGATCGTGCTAAGACATGATGAGCATAGTGTTGTGTACTGACTGTGCACCGTGACAGTGAAGCCTGTAGAGCTGTTTATTGCTGTGTCAGTGTGAAAAGTAGGGAATTGGCTAAGGAAACTGACAGATCAATAACGTTACATTGCTATACTGACTCTAATAAAAACTCACATTGCACTGAAAAAACATCTGTCTTCATTCGTTTTGGCCGCTGGTTTCATCGTTTGATTCAGGTCTAGTGTGATTGAGGCAAAAAGGAGTAACTAACGTTAGTGAGCTAGCTAGCTAATGGAGTAGCTAACGTTAGTGAGCTAGCTAGCTAATGGAGTAGCTACCGTTAGTGAGCTAGCTAGCTAATGGAGTAGCTACCGTTAGTGAGCTAGCTAGCTAATGTTAGCCAACTTTTGGCTAGCTCTTTCTCCAACGGTACATCAACTGCTGAAAACTAGCCATTAATTTACTTCTGTTGAAACGGGACAAAACAATGGCTACAAAACATTTCCATACAAACGACAGCTGTTAGATAATGTAGCGCTATAATAATAGCCACCTCATTTTACATTTTAGTCATTTAGCAGACACTCTTATCCAGAGCGACTTACAGTTAGTGAGTACATACATTATTTTTTTCATACTGGCCCCCCCGTGGGAATCGAACCCACAAACCTGGCATTGCAAACGCCATGCTCTACCAACTGAGCTACATCCCTGCCGGCCATTCCCTCCCCTACCCTGGGCCAATTGTGCGCCACCCCATGGGTCTCCCGGTCGCGGCCGGCTACAACAGAGCCTGGATTCGAACCAGGATCTCTAGTGGCACAGCCTTAGACTACTGCGCCACTCGGGAGCATAACCTCATATCTGACAGATGGCTTAGAGCTGAACTGGCTGTGGTAGCTAGCTACTAACGTTAGCTGGCTAATTCAATCACCTCAGTCGAGAAGGGATGAAACATTAGCTAACGTTACATGTCATTTACAATACTAGCTCGGCACTGGGAATAAACATTCGTTTATTTTTCTGTTAAGTCAAACAGCAGTTACCTTGCCAGCTACATCAGTCAACTAAAGAGTAGCTAGTTTCTGCTCTGCTTGCTTTTACAACTCGGAGAAAGACACACTGACAGCAGCTGCCTCTGTTCCTCTCCCGTGCCGGTCCAGCCAGCCTTTCAGAAGCTTTGCCTTCACACAGCCCGCTCTGTGGTGTCTGCACGGTCCTAAAGCATACTGATGCCTCTTTTTGTATCCCAGTGCAATGATAAAACTGTGTGTGACAAAAACGCAATTTCAGAATGTGTGTGTGGGGGGGGGGGGGGGTCGTGACCCTCCTGTCCCCAGAGAAAGTTGCACCCCTGTGACACACTGAGCTCTCTTCCCATTAGAACCACAATCAGCAAGGATACAAAGAGAGTCAGACCCACTGGCTCACAGCCACAAAGATAGAGCCATTGACATGGTAAAGCCAATAGGGGGTTTCAGTCTATACAAAGGCAACAGCGGAAAACATCTTACAAAACAATGTTCTCCAACCCTGAACAACAGATGTTGCTTAAAGAGATATTGTAATATATCATCATAAAAAGTCAAGATATCCTTTTTGAGATGTTGCTTTGATGTACAGTAGGCTAGTGGAGAGTCATACAAGTTGATCTGAAAGACGAATTACTTAACTTTTTATTTATTAATACTCATGCCTAAACCATCTAATGTGAATCTGAACTCATGCCTAAACCATCTAATGTGAATCTGAACTCATGCCTAAACCATCTAATGTGAATCTGAATTGAAGCTGTGCCATGGCTTTTCCAGTCTCTGTCCTCCCTGGTAATATTATAAAGTCAGATTAGATGATGTCTCTGTGCTTCCTGGTAATATTATAAAGTCAGATTAGATGATGTCTCTGTGCTTCCTGGTAATATTATAAAGTCAGATTAGATGATGTCTCTGTGCTTCCTGGTAATATTATAAAGTCAGATTAGATGATGTCTCTGTGCTTCCTGGTAATATTATAAAGTCAGATTAGATGATGTCTCTGTCCTCCCTGGTAATATTATAAAGTCAGATTAGATGATGTCTCTGTGCTTCCTGGTAATATTATAAAGTCAGATTAGATGATGTCTCTGTCCTTCCTGGTAATATTATAAAGGCAGATTAGATGATGTCTCTGTGCTTCCTGGTAATATTATAAAGTCAGATTAGATGATGTCTCTGTCCTCCCTGGTAATATTATAAAGTCAGATTAGATGATGTCTCTGTCCTCCCTGGTAATATTATATAGTCAGATTAGATGATGTCTCTGTGCTTCCTGGTAATATTATAAAGTCAGATTAGATGATGTCTCTGTCCTTCCTGGTAATATTATAAAGTCAGATTAGATGATGTCTCTGTCCTTCCTGGTAATATTATAAAGTCAGATTAGATGATGTCTCTGTCCTTCCTGGTAATATTATAAAGTCAGATTAGATGAGGTCTCTGTTGCTCTCAGCCTGTCTCCTAGATACAGTAGAGGCAAACACCAGCCCTGGTTATTTTCATTACGGAGCTAAATTTAAACAAAGGACATAGGTTCTTACACACGTCTAGTTTGCTGTTTCATACAAATACAAATACCCAAAAGAAAGTTGGTTAAAGGAATGTGTTATGACTGTGATATTGTTTTAATGCTGCATCAAAAAGTTCATTTTTTAGAACTTTTCAGTTGATCTTAAATAAAGTATTTATTGTTTTACTTGAAGGGCGAGAGCTGCGCCCTTTTGCCCTTAAGAATTTTAAGTTTTAACACAGAAATAGAGGTGTGTAACTATGTGTTTTAATTATGAACCATGGATAGGGTGCATAGCAAAATCTGTGAAGTGCCTAAATGGAATCATTTCACCATTCAATGAACTCATGCTACCCTGTTATCCTTGGCTGAAGATCTCCTCTCTCTATCATGCTTATTCGATCTATCATCTGCATGATATTCGATCGATGATGAGGTCAGATGAGGAAGATGAAGAGAGAGAGCAGAGAGAGAGAGATGACCGAGAGATCCCAAAGAGCGAGTAGTACTAAGACGAGAGAGAAGCAGCTAGAAGTAAACTCGAGACTTCATCGCTATATCATCGTCTCTCTCTATCTCTCTCTATCTCTATATCTTCTCATCTCTCTCTCTCTAATCCTACTCTCTCTCTCTGATCATCTCTATCTCTTCTCTCTCTCTCTCTCTATCCCTCTCTCTCTCTCTATCCCTCTTCTCTCTCTCTTCTCTCTCTCTCTCTCTCTCTCTCTCCCCTCTTATCCCTGACCACTCTCTGATGCATATTATACTATGAAATAGAGATATCTTCATTATTGCTCATCATCTGCAGCTGCTAACTATCCCCATGTAGCCTGGTCCCAAATGTGTTTGTGCTGTCTTGTCAACTTGTATGACCATTGTCATGCCAGTCATTAACCCAATGAGTCCCACCACATCCCTGTTTTGGACTTCTAACCCCTTTTAAACATTGTTTGAGCCACAGACGTCTGGGTTGGTACCGTTGGATTCTTCTATATATACAGTAAGCCAGTGGTATCTGAAAGGATCACGCACTAAAAGCCCAGCCTGTCACAACGGGGAAGAAGATTTGGGGAAGGTCTTTCTTTGCACCAAGAGAGTCTCTAGTGTCCACACCGACTGACAGGGGCTCTGATTGACTGTCGTCGTGCGTCGTGATTAGAGAGGATGGACACGGCGAACACTTCGAGCTCAGACTTCACAGACTCCAGTAAAATAGTAAATTATTTGATTGAGAAGTATGCAGATGTTGGATTTGGTCAGCCTGGAAAATTCTCTAACGAGCCACAGTCTCTAGTTTGTATGTCCCCCGTAGCGCGTCGTTTTGGAAACGTCCGCCCTATGTGCGCTGCGCCTCCTGGCTCAAGCAACAACAGTGCCATGTTCAAAGACTGTGCTGTTAGAGATCACGCCTATTATGACTGCTCTGACCCTCTGCCGTGGGTAGAGGTGTGTGGTATAGATGGAGTGAAGGAGTCCGTGTTATCGCAGCCGGCCCCAACAGTAACTCAGGAAAGTTTGCAGAGAGCGGCCGTGAACATGATATCGACACCCGGTTCAACCACAGCCACCGGGGTTTGTAAGATCATCAAAGATGAGAAGGAGCCGTCACTAATCATGGAAACACCGTGTCCCGATTTTGATCTAACGGCCAACATCCCTACCCTCGAGACCTGTTATGACAGCGAGAGGAAACAACAACTGTTAGGGTTTATGGATGATTCGGCAGCGTCTTTTCCCCCCTCGGTACCTGGACAACAGAACCAACAAGTACTATTGGACAGTTCTCCGAACTTTCTAGTCGACTTGAATCAGAACGACCAGATGTCGACGGTTCCCCAGATCCGGACGGACTCCCGAGGTGTTCCCTTTCCTACTCATCACAGTAAAGGCATGCTGAATTTTGACGTAATGAGCAGTAACGGACAGGTTCCACAGCAGCACTTGATGATTTATAAGAGTGAAATGCCCAGATGGTCCATTCAGACCTCTCCTACTCAGTCCCCGTACTGGTGCCAGTCCAGCGGGGTCTCCGAGGACCAGTATCCGCACCATGGCTACTCCTCCCCGGATGGAAATCACACCTCAGCTCTGCTCCAGAGGTCCCCGACCTATACTGGATATGGCGGGTAAGAATGACGCATTATTTCATGTATAGTTGAACATAACCATTGTAAAAGTCTCAACACTGTCACATCTTTCAGTTAATTTAAATTAGTGTTTTCATACTTTTATTGCCCCAAATGAGCTTTTTTAAAATTATTCCTCTGTGATATCAGTGTGCCAATGTTGTCCGTGTAAACAACCAATGTCTCGTATGTGTCTTCAATGGTTTTGCAGTGTTCCACCCCAGAGGCTGTGTATGATCTGTGGCGATGAGGCTTCAGGGTGTCACTATGGGGTCGTCACGTGTGGAAGCTGCAAAGTCTTCTTTAAAAGAGCAGTTGAAGGTAAGCAACACCATATAAGAGGATTGGAGCAGTATGTCATATGGTATGGAGATTCGACGGGACTGCTGCTGCATTGACCCACTGTTGGTTGAATACTGCCAAATTATGATGAGAAAAGGCAAATGATGATGTTTCAGGAAGAAAATTAAAAAGGCGTGGTAAAAATGAGAAATATTGAGGGTTGTTGTGGCCTTTCGAACCCTAATCCCCAGACACTGAAAGCAGACACTAAAGAATGTTACACTTTTTACTAAGTACCATTGTTATGTCTTTTTAAATGACTGGCACAGAATTAAAGCACAGCACAGACAGTATCACACAGTATCACATTGACCAGTGTTCACAATGTTCCGTTTTTCTGACTTGTTTTGGTCTCGTTATCTTGGAGATTTATTAGAGCCACTAAGGCGGACCATGGTTATGTCACTACCAGTCTGACCATGGTCATGTCTCTACCAGTCTGACCATGGTCATGTCTCTACCAGTCTGACCATGGTCATGTCTCTACCAGTCTGACCATGGTCATGTCACTACCAGTCTGACCATGGTCATGTCACTACCAGTCTGACCATGGTCATGTCTCTACCAGTCTGACCATGATCATGTCTCTACCAGTCTGACCATGGTCATGTCACTACCAGTCTGACCATGGTTATGTCACTACCAGTCTGACCATGGTCATGTCTCTACCAGTCTGACCATGGTCATGTCACTACCAGTCTGACCATGGTCATGTCTCTACCAGTCTGACCATGGTCATGTCTCTACCAGTCTGACCATGGTTATGTCACTACCAGTCTGAACATGTTCATGTCTCTACCAGTTAGACCATGGTCATGTCACTACCAGTCTGACCATGTTCATGTCACTACCAGTCTGACCATGGTCATGTCTCTACCAGTCTGACCAAGATCATGTCACTACCAGTCTGACCATGGTCATGTCACTACCAGTCTTACCATGGTTATGTCACTACCAGTCTGACCATGGTCATGTCTCTACCAGTCTGACCATGGTTATGTCTCTACCAGTCTGACCATGGTCATGTCACTACCAGTCTGACCATGGTCATGTCTCTACCAGTCTGACCATGGTCATGTCTCTACCAGTCTGACCATGGTCATGTCACTACCAGTCTGACCATGGTCATGTCTCTACCAGTCTGACCATGGTCATGTCACTACCAGTCTGACCATGATCATGTCTCTACCAGTCTAACCATGGTCATGTCACTACCAGTCTGACCATGGTTATGTCACTACCAGTCTGACCATGGTCATGTCTCTACCAGTCTGACCATGGTCATGTCACTACCAGTCTGACCATGATCATGTCTCTACCAGTCTGACCATGGTCATGTCTCTACCAGTCTGACCATGGTCATGTCACTACCAGTCTGACCATGGTCATGTCACTACCAGTCTGACCATGGTCATGTCACTACCTGTCTGACCATGGTCATGTCTCTACCAGTCTGACCATGGTCATGTCTCTACCAGTCTGACCATGGTCATGTCTCTACCAGTCTGACCATGTTCATGTCACTACCAGTCTGACCATGGTCATGTCTCTACCAGTCTGACCATGGTCATGTCACTACCAGTCTGACCATGTTCATGTCACTACCAGTCTGACCATGGTCATGTCTCTACCAGTCTGACCATGGTCATGTCTCTACCAGTCTGACCATGGTCATGTCACTACCAGTCTGACCATGGTCATGTCTCTACCAGTCTGACCATGGTCATGTCACTACCAGTCTGACCATGGTCATGTCTCTACCAGTCTGACCATGGTCATGTCACTACCAGTCTGACCATGGTTATGTCTCTACCAGTCTGACCATGGTCATGTCTCTACCAGTCTGACCATGTTCATGTCTCTACCAGTCTGACCATGGTCATGTCACTACCAGTCTGACCATGGTCATGTCTCTACCAGTCTGACCATGGTCATGTCACTACCAGTCTGACCATGGTCATGTCTCTACCAGTCTGACCATGGTCATGTCACTACCAGTCTGACCATGGTCATGTCTCTACCAGTCTGACCATGGTTATGTCACTACCAGTCTGACCATGGTCATGTCACTACCAGTCTGACCATGGTCATGTCTCTACCAGTCTGACCATGGTTATGTCTCTACCAGTCTGATCATGGTCATGTCTCTACCAGTCTGATCATGGTCATGTCACTACCAGTCTGACCATGGTTATGTCTCTACCAGTCTGACCATGGTCATGTCTCTACCAGTCTGACCATGGTTATGTCTCTACCAGTCTGACCATGGTCATGTCTCTACCAGTCTGATCATGGTCATGTCTCTACCAGTCTGACCATGATCATGTCAATACCAGTCTGACCATGGTCATGTCACTACCAGTCTGACCATGCATGGTCATGTCTCTACCAGTCTGACCATGGTCATGTCTCTACCAGTCTGACCATGGTCATGTCTCTACCAGTCTGACCATGGTCATGTCACTACCAGTCTGACCATGGTCATGTCACTACCAGTCTGACCATGGTCATGTCTCTACCAGTCTGACCATGGTCATGTCTCTACCAGTCTGACCATGCATGGTCATGTCTCTACCAGTCTGACCATGGTCATGTCTCTACCAGTCTGATCATGGTCATGTCACTACCAGTCTGACCATGGTCATGTCTCTACCAGTCTGACCATGGTCATGTCTCTACCAGTCTGACCATGGTCATGTCACTACCAGTCTGAACATGTTCATGTCTCTACCAGTCTGACCATGGTCATGTCACTACCAGTCTGACCATGGTCATGTCACTACCAGTCTGACCATGGTCATGTCACTACCAGTCTGACCATGGTCATGTCTCTACCAGTCTGACCATGGTCATGTCTCTACCAGTCTGATCATGGTCATGTCACTACCAGTCTGACCATGGTCATGTCTCTACCAGTCTGACCATGGTCATGTCTCTACCAGTCTGACCATGGTCATGTCACTACCAGTCTGAACATGTTCATGTCTCTACCAGTCTGACCATGGTCATGTCACTACCAGTCTGACCATGGTCATGTCTCTACCAGTCTGACCATGGTCATGTCACTACCAGTCTGACCATGGTCATGTCACTACCAGTCTGACCATGGTCATGTCACTACCAGTCTGACCATGGTTATGTCTCTACCAGTCTGACCATGGTCATGTCACTACCAGTCTGACCATGGTCATGTCACTACCAGTCTGACCATGGTCATGTCACTACCAGTCTGACCATGGTTATGTCTCTACCAGTCTGACAGTCTTAGAGAACCCATCTCCATTAGACAATATTACAGACAGTCTTAGAATCTTTATTTTCACCTCTCTCTGAGATTATTGTCTTTGAAAAGTAATTATAAGAACACACTCTAAACCACATTGACTGTATTCGGTTCTTCTATTCAACAGGACATCATAACTATCTCTGCGCCGGTCGAAATGACTGCATCGTGGATAAGATACGGAGAAAGAATTGCCCTGCGTGTCGCCTGAGGAAGTGCTACCAAGCTGGGATGATGCTAGGAGGTACCTTTATGTGGTCCTGTCTCTCTCTCTGTCCTTTTCTTCTTAATGAATGCCCTCCTACCAAATCATCTAGAGAACATCACATTAAAGGGGTTACGAATTAACACTCTCTCATCCTAAGCAGGAGTCACACACTATGAAATCATAATTTCCAGTCAAGGAGAATGTTCAAATGTCCTTTCAGGTCACACACAGAGACCAAACACTTCATGGAAATGAACAAAATAATCAAATCTTAATTTGATCACCCTGTCGCAGGAGAACTTTCCTGCAATGCAGGACTTTTTAAAATTGTCACGAATTCAGCCGAGGCTGCCCCTCCTCCTTGCTCAGGAGACGCATTGTGAGCAGGTCACTTTTTCCATCATTGAGTCTCCTGCTTTCCCTGTGGTGTTAGGTATTCCATGGCTAGCACTCCACAACCCCACTTTCTCATGGCCGCAGAGGGCTCTCACGGGGTGGTCGCGAGAGTGTCAGGGTAGGTGTATGGGGTGTTTCCGTTGGTGCATCCACGGTGGAAAGTCCAGACGGTGCCTCCACTGTGCACATTCCCCCCCGAATACCATTATCTGGCACAAGTTTTCTCCAAAAATAAAGCAACTAAATTGCCACCTCATCGGGCGGGGGATTGCGCAATAAACCTTCGGGTAGATGCTGTGCCTCCCTGGAGTCATGTGTATCCCCTGTCGCAGGCGGAGACGGAGGCTATGGAGACATACGTCACCGAGTCCCTGTGCCAGGGGTTCATACGTCCCTCCACTTCACCCGCCTCCTCTAGTTTATTTTTTGTGAAGAAGAAAGATGGCGGTCTGCGCCCGTGCATTGATTATCGACCACTGAACAAGGAGACGATTAGATTTAGTTATCCTCTCCCCCTCATTCCGTCAGTGGTTGAGTCATTGCATGGAGCGCGCTTCTTCACTAAATTAGATCTCCGGAGTGCGTACAACCTGGTGCGTATCTGAGAGGGAGATGAGTGGAAGACAGCATTCAGCACAACCACGGGGCTTTATGAATACCTGGTGATGCCGTACGGTTTGATGAATGCTCCCTCAGTCTTCCAGTCCTTTGTGAACGAGGTGTTTCTGGACATGCTTGGTCACGGTGTAGTGGTCTACATCGATGACATCCTGGTGTATTCCGCTACGCGTGCCGAGCATGTGTCCCTGGTTCGCAAAGTGCTGGCCCGACTGTTGGAACATGACCTTTATGCCAAGGCAGAAATGTGTCTGTTTTTCCAACAGTCCGTCTCCTTCCTCGGATACCGCATTACCACCTCAGGTGTGGAGATGGAGGGCGACCGCATTTCATACGTGCGTAATTGGCTGACTCCAACCACGGTAAAGGAGGTGCAGTGCTTTATTGGCTTTGCCAACTACTATCAGAGGTTTATCCGGGGCTTTGGCAAGGTCGCAGCTCCCATCACCTCTCTGCTGAAGGGTGGGCCGTCCAGGCTCCTCTGGTCTGCTGAGGCTGACAGGAACTTCAGTAACCTGAGGGTTCTGTTCACCTCAGCCCCGGTACTGGCCCACCCCGATCCATCACTACCGTTCGTAGTGGAGGTGGATGCGTCCGAGGTGGGGATGGGAGCAGTCCTGTATCAACGCTCGGGCACGCCACCCAAGCTCCACCCCTGTGCCTTCTTCTCCAAGAAGCTCAGCCCAGCGGAGCAGAACTACGACGTTGGTGATCGGGAGCTGTTGGCTGTTGTCCGAGCTCTGACAGTGTGGAGACATTGGCTCGAGGGGGCGTAACACCCTTTCCTCGTCTGGACGGACCACCGTAACCTGGAGTACATCCGGGCAGCGAGGAGGCTGAACCCTCGCCAGGCCAGGTGGGCCCTATTCTTCACCTGGTTTGATTTTACTCTGTCTTACATCCTGGGTACGAAGAATGTGAAGGCAGACGCACTGTCACGGCTGTACGACACAGAGGAGAGGCCCATAGATAACACCCCATACTCCCGGCCTCCTGCATTGTGGCGCCTGTAGTATGGGGCGATGGATGCGGATATAGAGCAGGCGTTACGCACAGATCCATCTCCACCTCAGTGTCCAGCTGGGCTGCGGTACGTGCCTGCTCTTTTCCGTGGCCGTCTGATCTACTGGGCACACACGTCCCCCTCCTCTGGTCACCCAGGTATCGGTCGTACAATGCGCTGCCTGACCGAGAAGTACTGCTGGCCTACCTTGGCTAAGGACGTGAGGGTGTATGTTTCCTCCTGCTCAGTGTGCGCCCAGAGTAAGGCACCTAGGCACCTCCCAGCAGGTAAGTTAAAACCTTTACCAGTTCCACAACGACCATGGTCTCATCTTAGTATTTATTTCCTTACTGATCTTCCCCTCTCTCAAGGTAACACCACCATCCTGGTCGTTGTGGACTGCTTTTCCAAGGACTGCCGCCTCCTTCCTCTGTCCGATCTCCCCACGGCCCTGCAGACTGCCGAGGCCCTGTTTACACACGTCTTCCGGCACTACGGGGTACCAGAGGACATAGTGTCTGACCGGGGTCCCCAGTTCACGTCAAAAGTCTGGAAGGCGTTCATGGAACGTCTGGGGGTCTCGGTCAGCCTGACCTCTGGGTTCCACACCGAGTCTAATGGGCAGGTGGAACTGGTAAATCAGGACGTGGGTAGGTTCCTGAGGTCCTATTGCCAGGATCGGCCGGGGGAGTGGTCGGTGTTCCTGCCATGGGCCGAATATGCCCAGAACTCTCTCCGCCACTCCTCTAACCTAACGCCATTTCAGTGTGTTTTGGGTTACCAACCTGTCCTGGCACCGTGGCACCAGAGCCAGACCGAAGCTCTTGCGGTGAATGACTGGTTTCGGCGCTCGGAGGAGACGTGGAACGCTGCCCGTGTTCACCTCCAACGCGCCGTGCGTCATCAGAAGGAAAAAAGCTGACCGTCACCGCAGTGAGGCCCCCGTCTTTGTACCGGGGGATCGGGTCTGGCTCTCGACCCGGAATCTGCCCCTCCGCCTGCCCTGCCGGAAGCTGAGCCCGCGGTTTGTAGGGCCGTTCAAAGTCCTGAGGAGAATCAACGAGGTCACATATAGGTTATTACTTCCCCCTGATTACCCCTCGTTTCATGTGTCTCTGGTCAGGCCGGTGGTGGCTGGTCCGCTCCAGGAGTCTGAGGTGCGGGAGGTCCCTCCACCTCCTTTGGACATCAAGGGGGCGCCGGCGTACTCTCTCCGTTCCATACTAGATTCGAGGCGCCGGGTGGGGGGCCTTCAGTACCTCGTGGAGTGGGAAGGGTACAGTCCGGAGGAACGGTGCTGGGTCCCGGTGAGGGATATCCTCGATCCCTCTCTGTTGAGGGACTTCCATCGTCGCCACCCGACTCGCCCTGCTCCGCGTCCTCCTGGCTGTCCCCGAGGCCGGGGTCGCCGGGGTCGACGCGCTGCTACAGCTGCGCGTCAAGGGAGGGGTACTGTCACGAATTCAGCCGAGGCTGCCCCTCCTCCTTGCTCGGGCAGGTTTCGGCGTTCGTTGTCACCGGCTTACTGGCCACTACCGCTTCATTTATCATCACTCCATTTGTCTTGTCTTGTCAATCACACACACCTGGTAATCATTCCCTCATTAGTCTGTGTATAAGTGTTCCCTCTGCCCACTTGTCCTTTGTGAGTGATTGTTCATTGTGAGAGTAGCTCAGTTGAGCTACTCTTTCCTTGTATGTAGCCAAGGTGGATTTTTCCCTTGTGCTAGTTTCGTTTTGACGCTTGCTGCCCTTTATTCATGTACACTGAATAAACTCTGGATTTGGGTGTTTTGCCTCCTGCGCCTGACTCCGTCATTCACACCTCGTCACAAAACTTGTAGTGTATTTGAGGTTTAAAAAGGCTTCTGAAGTTTGTAATTTCCACTTTGAAGTTTTCAGGCCTGATTTTCCCTAAGGGAAAATCTATTAACCCCTACAAAAATGTCCATTAATTATAATCCACGTAATAATTCACATTTCCTGTTGCTGCAGGATGATCTTCCTTCTGTAGCAATTTGGCTCAAAATTAAGATCCTACATCTGTATGGGTAAACAGTTGATTCATAAATGAAAGTGCTCTTGCCGTTCTCTGAGCTTTTATTTGAAACATTTTACAGTTGAAGTCGGAAGTTTACATATACCTTAGCCAAATACATTTCAACTCAGTTTTTCACAATTCCTGATATTTATTCCTAGTAAAAATTCCCTGTCTTAGGTCAGTTAGGATCACCACTTTATTTTAAGAATGTGAAATGTCAGAATAATAGTAGAGAGAATGTTTTATTTAAGGTTTTATTTCTTTCATCACATTCCCAGTGGGTCAGAAGTTTACATACACTCAATTAGAATTAGGTAGCATTGCCTTTAAATTGTTTTACTTGGGTCAAACGTTTCGGGTAGCCTTCCACAAGCTTCCCACAATAAGTTGGGTTAATTTTGGCCCATTCCTCCTGACAGAGCTGGTGTAACTGAGTCAGGTTTGTAGGCCTCCTTGCTCGCACACACTTTTTCAGTTCTGCCCACAAATGTTCTATAGGATTGAGGTCAGGGCTTTGTGATGGCCACTCCAATACCTTGACTTTGTTGTCCTTAAGCCATTTTGCCACAACTTTGGAAGTATGCTTGGGGTCATTGTCCATTTGGAAGACTCATTTGCGACCAAGCTTTAACTTCCTGACTGATGTCTTGAGATGTTGCTTCAATATATCCACATCATTTTCCTTCCTCATGATGCCATCTATTTTGTGAAGTGCACCAGTCCCTCCTGCAGCAAAGCACCCCCACAGCATGATGCTGCCACCCCCATGCTTCACGGTTGGGATGGTGTTCTTCGGCTTGCAAGCCTTCCCCTTTTTCCTCCAAACATAACGATGGTCATTATGGCCAAACAGTTCTATTTTTGTTTCATCAGACCAGAGGCCATTTCTCCAAAAAGTATGATTTTTGTCCCCATGTGCAGTTGCAAACCGTAGTCTGGCTTTTTAATGGCGGTTTTGGAGCAGTGGCTTCTTTCTTGTTGAGCGGCCTTTCAGGTTATGTCAATATAGGGCTCATTTTACTGTGGACATAGATACTTTTGTACCTGTTTCCTCCAGCATCTTCACAAGGTCCTTTGCTGTTGTTCTGGGATTGATTTGCACTTTTCGCACCAAAGTCCGTTCATCTCTAGGAGACAGAACAAGTCTCCTTCCTGAGCGGTATGACGGCTGCGTGGTCCCATGGTGTTTATACTTTCGTACTATTGTTTGTATAGATTAACGTGGTACCTTCAGGCGTTTGGAATTTTCTCCCAAGGATGAACCAGACTTGTGGAGGTCTACAATCTTTTTTCTGAGGTCTTGGCTGATTTCTTTTGATTTTCCTATGATGTCAAGCAAAGAGGCACTGAGTTTGAAGGTAGGCCTTGAAATACATCCACAGCTACACCTCCAATTGACTCAAATGATGTCAATTAGCCTATCAGAAGCTTCTAAAGCCATGACATCATTTTCTGGAATTTTCCACGCTGTTTAAAGGCACAGTCAACTTAGTGTATGTAAACTTCTGACCCACTGGAATTGTGATACAGTGAATTATAAGTGAAATAATCTGTCTGTAAGCAATTGATGGAAAATTACTTGTGTCATGCACAAAGTAGATGTCCTAACTGACTTGCCAAAACTATAGTTTGTTAACAAGAAATTTGTGGAGTGGTTGAAAAACGAGTTTTAATGACTCCAACCTAAGTGTACGTAAACTTCCGACTTCAACTGCATGTGTCATGGGTTATTGAGGAGGAGTTAGTGTGTTATATTACAGTATCTAATAAGTCAACCATTCAGCTAAAATTACAACTTAGAGAAAAATAAATGCATTACAGTAATTATTTCGTAGCATTTTTATCCAGGCAATCTAAACCTGAATATTTATTTTAAAAATGTTCTATCTTTTAACTTTGGCCTCAGACAGAATATCTTATGTCAGCCAACACATCTGATCACATCTTAATGAAGCATTTTCATAGATTTTTTAACTTCATATTCATTATGTTCAACCCCATACCAATGTCTGTTCCTTGTACATCTTTTAACTGACCCTTGTGGTAATTATGGTCACAGGGCGGAAGCTGAAGCGTTTTGGGGCCCTGAAGGCGGGTCTGGCCCCAGCCTTGATGTTCCAGGGTCCCTTGTCAGCCCTGGGGGATGGTCTGGCCCCAGCCTTGATGTACCAGGGGCCCTTGTCAGCCCTGGGGGATGGTCAGGCCCTGGCCTCTCTACCCTGCATGCCTGGCCTCCACGAGCTGCACCTCTCCCCTCAGATCATCAGCATTCTGGAGAGCATCGAGCCTGAGGTGGGTCGTAGTTGCTGATTTAGGGGGGGGGGGGGATCCTAACCTCCACCTAAGTCTAATTGTAACTTACTCTCCCATTGACTTCAATGCATGACTAAGTGAACATTTTGCCTTAAGGAAAAGTTAGGATTCATATTCATCAAAGGTACCTTTTGGTTTGTGTTGTTACGTCCTGCTGCTGACAATGAATTAACATTCAGGGATCAATCATAAATATTAATAAACTATAATAATAATAATAAACTATAACTGATAATAATAATATGCCATTTAGCTTTTATCCAAAGCGACTCACAGTCATGTGCGCATACATGTTTACGTATGGGTGGTCCCGGGGATCGAACCCACTACCCTGGGCGCTACAAGCGCCGTGCTCTACCAGCTGAGCTACAGAGGACCTAATCATGTATTCGTCTCTCCATCCTACCAGGTGGTGTACTCTGGCTACGACAGCTCCCAGCCTGACATGCCACACCTCCTCCTCAACAGCCTCAACAGACTGTGTGACAGACAGCTGCTGTGGATCGTCCGCTGGTCCAAATCCCTGCCAGGTAATAAGCAGGACGAGTGTTGACCGTGTTATAAATGCGGTATGTGTGCTTTATGAATGTCTTATGATGTCCTGAGAGACAGACTGTGTATCGTCTGGTGATCAAGTAACAGCAGGAGGAATACCAACTGGTTTGATATCCTAACTTGACATCTGCACACGTAATCCATCCACACTTCATATACTGATGTAAATGGGAGGTTTGCGCCCATGTGGATCCAAGTTAGGATTGGGTTACTTTACTGAAGTCAACCTGTACCACATTACAGACAGCAGTAGTAGACTGCAGTAGCCTTGGTCAGGTCTGCCAGATAACAGAGTAACTTTATTCAGGGTTGACTTATGATATAAGTCTATGGGTTCGTCCTGAATGGCACACTCTTCCCTATATAGTGCACTACTTTTGACCAAAGCTCTATGGGCCCTGGTCAAAAGTAGTGCACTAAATAGGGCATCCCATGGGCTAGGCCTTCTCAGGGCCAACACCCTCACCATGGTCTCCATGGTCACCACACCCGAACCATGGTCTCCATGGTCACCAGCGTTCCGAAGCGAAGGTCTCACTCCCTAACACTGGCAGGCAGAGATACAGCCAGGGACATGGCTTTGATCAAATAAAAAGACATAACCATTGTGAAAGTGCGACCAATCCTTTCTTCTCTTTTAAAGTCATGAAATACTCTTTATCATTACTGGTAACCTCCTAAACACCCTTTATCATTACTGGTAACCTCCTAAACACCCCATTATCACTACTGGTAACCTCCTAAACACCCCATTATCACTACTGGTAACCTCCTAAACACCCCATTATCACTACTGGTAACCTCCTAAACACCCCATTATCACTACTGGTAAAATCCTAAACACCCCATTATCACTACTGGTAACCTCCTAAACACCCCATTATCACTACTGGTAACCTCCTAAACAACCCATTATCACTACTGGTAAAATCCTAAACACCCCATTATCACTACTGGTAACCTCCTAAACACCCCATTATCACTACTGGTAACCTCCTAAACACCCCTTTATCACTACTGGTAACCTCCTAAACACCCCATTATCACTACTGGTAACCTCCTAAACACCCCATTATCACTACTGGTAACCTCCTAAACACCCCTTTATCACTACTGGTAACCTCCTAAACACCCCATTATCACTACTGGTAACCTCCTAAACACCCCATTATCACTACTGGTAACCTCCTAAACAACCCCTTTAACACTACTGGTAACCTCCTAAACACCCCATTATCACTACTGGTAACCTCCTAAACACCCCATTATCACTACTGGTAACCTCCTAAACACCCCATTATCACTACTGGTAACCTCCTAAACACCCCATTATCACTACTGGTAACCTCCTAAACACCCCATTATCACTACTGGTAACCTCCTAAACACCCCTTTATCACTACTGGTAACCTCCTAAACACCCCATTATCACTACTGGTAACCTCCTAAACACCCCATTATCACTACTGGTAACCTCCTAAACACCCCATTATCACTACTGGTAACCTCCTAAACACCCCATTATCACTACTGGTAACCTCCTAAATACCCCATTATCACTACTGGTAACCTCCTAAACACCCTTTATCACTACTGGTAACCTCCTAAACACCCTTTATCATTACTGGTAACCTCCTAAACACCCTTTATCATTACTGGTAACCTCATAAACACCCCATTATCACTACTGGTGAAATCCTAAACACCCCATTATCACTACTGGTAACCTCCTAAACACCCCATTATCACTACTGGTAACCTCCTAAACACCCCATTATCACTACTGGTAACCTCCTAAACACCCCATTATCACTACTGGTAACCTCCTAAACACCCCATTATCACTACTGGTAACCTCCTAAACACCCCATTATCACTACTGGTAACCTCCTAAACACCCCTTATCACTACTGGTAACCTCCTAAACACCCCTTATCACTACTGGTAACCTCCTAAAACACCCCATTATCACTACTGGTAACCTCCTAAACACCCCATTATCACTACTGGTAACCTCCTAAACACCCCATTATCACTACTGGTAACCTCCTAAACACCCCATTATCACTACTGGTAACCTCCTAAACACCCCATTATCACTACTGGTAACCTCCTAAACACCCTTTATCACTACTGGTAACCTCCTAAACACCCTTTATCATTACTGGTAACCTCCTAAACACCCCTTTATCATTACTGGTAACCTCCTAAACACCCCATTATCACTACTGGTAACCTCCTAAACACCCCATTATCACTACTGGTAACCTCCTAAACACCCCATTATCACTACTGGTAACCTCCTAAACACCCCTTTATCATTACTGGTAACCTCATAAACACCCCATTATCACTACTGGTGAAATCCTAAACACCCCATTATCACTACTGGTAACCTCCTAAACACCCCATTATCACTACTGGTAACCTCCTAAACACCCCATTATCACTACTGGTAACCTCCTAAACACCCCATTATCACTACTGGTAACCTCCTAAACACCCCATTATCACTACTGGAAACCTCCTAAACACCCCATTATCACTACTGGTAACCTCCTAAACACCCCTTTATCATTACTGGTAACCTCCTAAACACCCCATTATCACTACTGGTAACCTCCTAAACACCCCATTATCACTACTGGGAACCTCCTAAACACCCCATTATCACTACTGGTAACCTCCTAAACACCCCTTTATCATTACTGGTAACCTCCTAAACACCCCATTATCACTACTGGTAACGGTAATGATTTGACAGGGAGGGAAGAACAGTTCCCATAAGGAGAGTTAATGGTTTGACATTTGTTGTTATGAAACATGAAACACACCACCATTAAATACGAGCCAGATCAAAAGCTGCAAAGCTATTATGGTTGACCAGTAGTGATATATCTACCATTATGGTTGACCAGTAGTGATATATCTACCATTATGGTTGACCAGTAGTGATATATCTACCATTATGGTTGACCAGTAGTGATATATCTACCATTATGGTTGACCAGTAGTGATATATCTACCATTATGGTTGACCAGTAGTGATATATCTACCATTATGGTTGACCAGTAGTGATATATCTACCATTATGGTTGACCAGTAGTGATATATCTACCATTATGGTTGACCAGTAGTGATATATCTACCATTATGGTTGACCAGTAGTGATATATCTACCATTATGGTTGACCAGTAGTGATATATCTACCATTATGGTTGACCAGTAGTGATATATCTACCATTATGGTTGACCAGTAGTGATATATCTACCATTATGGTTGACCAGTAGTGATATATCTACCATTATGGTTGACCAGTACTGATATATCTACCATTATGGTTGACCAGTAATGATATATCTACCATTATGGTTGACCAGTAATGATATATCTACCATTATGGTTGACCAGTAATGATATATCTACCATTATGGTTGACCGGTAATGATATAGCTACAACCGTGTATGACTGTTACTACGGTGATGACTGTTACTACGGTGAGTACGTTTCTAGGTTACTACATTCACACTCTGCCCACAGATACGCGTCACTTCCTGTACTTCACATAGAGCAGAACAACTTGTTCCTGATAATGACATGATAACAACATGATAACATTGTTATATACATAATAAACCCTTTTAACTCAAATGACAGTAGATAAAGTGTTACTAAAGGTAATACAATTCAACTCACATTTTGATTTATTTTTCCACCTTTATTTAACCAGGTAAGCCAGTTGAGAACAAGTTCTCATTTACAACTGCGACCTGGCCAAGATAAAGCAAAGCAGTGCGATAAAAACAACAACACAGAGTTACATATGGGGTAAAACAAAACATACAGTCAAAAATACAACAGAAAATATATATACAGTGTGTTCAAATGTAGCAAGTTATGGAGGTAAGGCAATATATAGGCCATAGTGCAAAATAATTACAATTAGTATTAACACTGGAATGATAGATGTGCAAGAGATGATGTGCAAATAGAGATACTGGGGTGCAAAGTAGCTAAATAAATAACAATATGGGGATGAGGTAGTTAGGTGGGCTAATTTCAGATGGGATGTGTACAGGTGCAGTGATCGGTAAGGTGCTCTGACAACTGATGCTTAAAGTTAGTGAGGGAGATAAGAGTCTCCAGCTTCAGAGATTTTTGCAGTTCGTTCCAGTCATTGGCAGCAGAGAACTGGAAGGAATGGCGGCCAAAGGAGGTGTTGGCTTTGGGGATGACCAGTGAGATATACCTGCTGGAATGCATACTACGGGTGGGTGTTGCTATGGTGACCAATGAGCTAAGATAAGGCGGGGATTTGCCTAGCAGTGATTTATAGATGACCTGGAGCCAGTGGGTTTGGCGATGAATATGTAGTGAGGACCAGCCAACAAGAGCGTACAGGTTACAGTGGTGGGTAGTGTATGGGGCTTTGGAGACAAAACGGATGGCACTGTGATAGACTACATCCAATTTGCTGAGTAGAGTGTTGGAGGCTATTTTGTAAATGACATCGCCGAAGTCAAGGATCAGTAGGATAGTCAGTTTTACGAGGGCATGTTTGGCAGCATGAGTGAAGGATACTTTGTTGCGAAATAGGAAGCCGATTCTAGATTTAACTTTGGATTGGAGATGCTTAATATAAGTCTGGAAGGAGAGTTTACAGTCTAACCAGACACCTAGGTATTTGTAGTTGTCCACATACTCTAGGTCCTGTCGAGAGTATTGATTCTAGTCGGGTGGGCGGGTGCCAGCAGCGTTCGATTGAAGAGCATGCATTTAGTTTTACTAGTGTTTAAGAGCAGTTGGAGGCTACTGAAGGAGTGTTGTATGGCATTGAAGCTCGTTTGGAGGTTTGTTAACACAGTGTCCAATGAAGGGCCAGATGTATACAAAATGGTGTCGTCTGCGTAGAGGTGGATCTGAGAATCACCAGCAGCAAGAGCGACATCATTGATATACACAGAGAAA